CTGTGAAAGACTTAACTCCAAAGTTAAATCCAAATATCAGTAACTGACACCCTGTTAAATATCAGTATTTTTGAAATAAAGAGTTGATGAAAACTGGCAAGATCTTTTTAGTATTGTCTTACCAGTTCTAAACTGACAGGACTTAAGCAGTGTGTAACCAAGTAAAAGAAATAAATCTGATTTATTGTAAAGTATGTTAGTATGTGCTCGTGTGAATATAAATTTCTTTGAAACAAGCACGTTGGATGCTGAAGGGGATTTCACAGAGGTGAGATACAATTTGCTGAGGCTGGTTCTCTGGGTAGAGTGAACATGGGCTTTGTCAGAGGGTGATTCGGAGCAGCAGAGGCCAGAGCTGGATAAATGTAATTACCATATCGAGTTCTTCTTAATGAAGACAGGAAACTGAATTTAGCTTCAAATAATGTTTCTAACTGTTATCCATTTAACTTAAAGAATAACACTGACCTACATTTTTGTAGTTACTCCTGAAAATGCTTCGTGGTCTTTGTTTTGTCCGTCTGAAGGATTGCAACTCGTTTGGCTTAGAGTTTGGTATTCTGCACTTTCTATCTATGCTTATTTGGTTTTGTGGGGGTTTTTTATTTGTTTGTGGGGTTTTTTTTAAATTTTCTGTGGGTATTTTTACATGGTGAGAGCTTGTACCTGTATGCCTGTTTTGTTTTGGTTAAAAAGATTTCGTGTGAGATAGGTGGGTTGCATAGAGCAATTGTATTTGCATTTCAAAGCGACACGCTTCAGAAAAGATTGAGGCTTTTTCTTTTAAAAGGGTATTGCTTTTTGACTAACCACCAACAGCTGCAAAGGTAGAACACAGGAGGTAACGCTGCTCTTTGCAACAGTAGGCTTCCCATTATCAGTAAAACGTTTTGTCTCTTGATTTTGGCACAGAAATAAGGGTCGCCTTTAAAAGGTCAAAAGTGCTCTCTGCTGCTGAAGAGATTATGGGCACTGCATAATTAGGATGATGCTTATGTACAGTTCTGCTGTTTGGATCAGTCTGCACACAACACTAAGCAGTTTATAGGAGATAATTTTTTTTTTAATTCAGGCTTTAACTTGCCTTTCCAACATTCGCACTAAGATGTGCAGTGGAAGTTGGAGGTTGCTGCCATTTAGCCAGATGTGCACCGCTGCAAGTTCTTCATGGTGTTTTAATTCCTTAACTTGCTTTGTAATGGATAGATTACTGGTAGTGACAATTCTTTGAGAATGTTGTGTTGAAACTTAGGACTGAGGAAGGAGGGAAACCAATGTTGCTTTATATTTCTCGGTACTTTTTTCATCTGAAGATTTTTGGTGAGTTTAATGATGGTTAATCCTCTTGTCGCGGACCCGGTGAAACGGTTTCTTCATTGTCGAATGGATTCTACAGCAGCTAATTCAGCTTGACATTCATCTGTGTGATCTTCAGTGCTATTGAGAGCATGAAATGAAACAGCTTTGAAATGGCTGGAGATGTGAACCAAAAGCTGTAAAATACTCTGGCTGTGCGCTTCTCTATGTATCACTGCCCAAAACATCTGGTAGTGCTCTCGGCGCTGGTCCCCGTGCCTTCCTCAGCGCGTCCTTCCAGAGCAGGAGATTTATTTGCAGAGAGGAAGATACTCAATGAACTGCTCTATCATGTCATTCAACACACTCAGAGTTCCTTATCCTAAAGCAAACCCGGAGTATCCTCTCTAACAAACAGTTTCTTTGTGTGCTTTGGCAGAATTCTCGGAGGAGCCTGTCCCATGGGTCTAGAAATTGTTATAGAGTAGAAGACCGTAGGGCCACAATTAGCCCATTAATTTCTATGTGGCATCTTGTGTCACTTATGAATGAATTTTTCTTTTTTTTCCTTCTTTTTTTCTTTTTTTCCTTTCTTTGCAAGTGGCCTACTTCACTGGCTTATAATTATTTCTGGTTTACATTAGGTGCCAAACAGGAGTTTTAGGCAAAAAGCTTTTGTACATTTTCCCTTCTCTTCTCTTGTGGTAAAAATTTTTTGGTCGTACGTTCGTGTTTCCACGGACATAAAGAAGTACAGAGGGTAACTATAGAACTGTAGGAAGTTTTACTGTATTGTCACAGGCATTTGGATGGGCACCACACAGTTTAATGATTCCTGAATTATTTCCTAAGATTGTCAATGTTGTTTTTATTTCGAAAGAGTCAAAATTTGCATAAAAACAGTGTCTATGTAATAACGGTGTAACGAAAGGATTAACAAAAATTACTTTTTTGCAAAATACAACTTCTCATGCAGAAGTATGGAATAGGGTTTCTCTTTGATCCCTGGTGGTATTTTTGGTAGAAGGTATGGATGGGGACCCAAGGGCAGGTGCCCGAGGTGGTTTGTTGGTGTGTTTTTGGCACAGAGACCCCTGAAGGACACCCTGCTGCTCATGTTCGGGTGACAGACCTGATTTTCCCACGCTTTCCAGAGAGAAGCGATGGGGTCAAGGTCCTACCAGAGAGTCCAGTTTGCGTTCACCACCTGGAACAGTTGCTTCAACTCTTCCTGATCTTTACTCTGTTTCCAGAGATTATGCTTGTTTTAGCGTTGTTTCTAACACTCAGATATAGTAGCTGGTGGCTTGTCTGTCTATGTCAGAAATGTTTTAAGGTCCGGAGGACCAGCCCCTCCTCTAGCTCTGCAGCTGGTTGCAGAGGACAGCAGGAAGCCTATGGCCAGTGTCGCGTCTGAGTCGCCATGGAGGTGCAAACTCCTGTGAGAACTGGGGGAAAAAGGACAGAGAGCTGTAGGGAAGCAAGCGGAGATCCAGCAAGCGAGAGGCTCTGGAGAGCACACAGGATTTGATAAACTGTGACAGGAACTGTTCACAGCGTATTGGCTTGTTAAACATGTACAATTTGTAGACCCTAGATATTTTCTGGGATTTATGCATGTGCCTAGCCCTCAGATTGGATGCCAGTGCATTGGCCACCCTGCTAATACATGTGTTTTCTGTTTCTCACCAAATTCTGAATAAGGCACGAGAAGCATGAGCTCTCCTTGCCTCACCACTATCTTTGAGATGAATACAGTGCAGGAAGTTGACTCTGTCTGCGCTGGGAATGAGCTGAAGTGTGACAGGAGCCAAGCAGCCATCGCTCATCCCAGGTCACAATTTGCACTGTGCGGCATGAAGACAAAGGAGAGAATGAGACGGAAGGTGACTCAGAGCAGAAATTGCAGCCCTGATACGATGGCTGGCTTTCTCTTCTTGTACTTCAGTTATTTCACAAAGTGTGGGGTTTTTTTCAGTGCTGGCCTTGTTTGTTTTTTCTTTTCTTTTTCTTTCCCAAATGCACTCTTAGTCAAGAAATTTGACAATGCATCTGTGTTACATGTCGTTCCCATTTATGAACTTAATGTAGTGGGTAGGTAGTATGGTATAAGGCAGGAATAAGGTCACAGTTTTTCCAGTGTATCGCTGCTGATGTTAGAAAACTACTACTGTGCATTTTGTGCGTGATTCCCACACAGCGTTTGGAAGGCTTCTCTGTGGTTTTCCAGCCTCTGTGGAAATGGTTGTTGTTGTTAGAGTAAATTTGTATCATCTGTATCAGCAGTGGCATATATGCAATTTCATAAGATCATTCTTTGCTACACTGGTGGGATTTAGAATGATGTGCTAGGCTCCCACCCTCTGGTTTGCCCTCCTGTGGTTAGTTCGCCAGAGACCTCTAGGAGGCTGGGACTGGCAGGTTTTAGTTAAAATAACCTCCTGCTTCTGCCCCAGGTACTTCAGACATACGCTGTGTCCTCCCTGTGAAGGACTACAGATCTGGAAAGATTGCTTCCTGAGGTGGAATTCGGAAGTAGTGACTGCCTTGTATCCATAGTATGATGCATTTCATACCCTCTCCCAAGCTCCTGCCTTCTGGCCGTTAGCTTTTGAGTCTGATTTTTCTGACTCCATAAACACAGGTATTGATGTGGCTGTAGAACAGTAATGCCAGACTGGTATTTAGGTGTTGCTGTAGGAGATTCGCACTGTTCCTTTGTCCTTGCAATTTCTAGATCCTGCAAGGCTGCCTTTATTTCCCTCTAGCCTTCCTCTTTGCCATTTGCCTGCTGTAGGCTCTTAGGCTTGAACCATGAGAAGCTTCTGGACTAGTTCATACCTTTATGCGCCACAGGGTCGTTTTCATAAAGTTGAGGGTGGAGCAGTAGCTTAATTTTTTCAAACTTGAGCACACGGGCCAGCAACTCTTTTTCCCTCAAAGCCACTGAAGAAATCTGTTGTTTCACAGAGATTCTGCTCTGCGTGGGACAGAGGGAAGGACAACCCTCGCTCCTCGTCCCTGCCCTGCGCCGGGCTCCTGTAGGCACAGCGTGGTCTGCTTGGTGTGGTTTAGGAAAAACATTGTTTGTGGGAGGAGGGATGTAGTTACAGGCCTTGTGTTTTGTGGTTTGGCCTCCAAACCGGTAGATAATATCGGTGTAAGCTGAGAGCACTGCTTTGTTCTCAAGGGGCTTTTAATGTTTTTTGTTTGCTTTGCTTTGCCGGAGCCTGGTTTGGGAGGTAGGGGCTAAGGGGAGATGATGTCTTGGCTCTGGGGAGATATTTTGTCCTGTACATCTGCATGGTGTTAGGGAGAGGAGACCTGTTGAATCTTTCTCCTGCTGTTTCACGAGTTGAAATATGAAGACGGGATCACTTTGTGTCATCAACTCGAATTCCCCACAATAGAACTACAGATGATATTACAATTTGTTTAAAAAAACCAAACCCAGCTTACAGCCGAGCGTGAAAGGGATGTGGTGAGGAGAGTGAAGGCAATTCTATTTCCCTTTCTTTTGTCTTTAATTACAGTGGGTGTCGGTTCTGATCCAAATTTAGTGTACAAAAATTTAAAATAGTTACTTAATTCTGCACAAACAGTTTATGGAGCTGCTAAACCAGCTATAGATCCTGGATTTTCTCATTTGGTTAATTGTTTTCTTTTGCTTTTTTAGGTCACATTTAGGTCATCTTGTGGAACCTTCAGAGAAAACAAGAGTAGTAGTATGAAAATGATGTTTAATAGAAGTATCTTCACTACACAGTCAGACTGAAACAGGAACAGGTTCTCTGGAGTAAGTATTACAGTTGCATGGTTTTTTCTGGATAAAATCAGTAACATGATTATTAGGCTATTATTATATTTCACTTTGTTGTAGTTGCATTAAATATGAGATAAATTAGTGACTCCATCCTCATTTCACTTGATCGGCTGCTAATGAACACTCTTTTGGACTCTTTACTGAAGCATCATCTGTCTTGGAAGCAATTGTATCTTATGAAATTTAGATGAGCTTCAGATTTTTCTCTTGGCTCCTGTGTCTTCTGGGTATGGATTTGAGCAGGAAGTGGCCTGTAGATGTAATTACATATAACCTCCACTTGCTGGCAAAAGTTAAAGCCCTGCCTGTATCTTCCAGGGAATTTTTTAGGCTGCAGTTTCCCATTTCTTGCACTTTTTGTGTGACTTTGATAGTTTTGGTGTCAGTATTGTAATATTTGACTTGTACTGCTGTTTCATCATCTATCAAACGAGCATAAATCTTCAGTTTTATGGATCTTGGATATGTCTTTTCTTCACTGTTTATAGTTAAGTTCTAGCTTTTCTGAATTCTAGGCTGACACCTGTGTCTCATTTATGATCTGAGAAGCTTGGCTGCCCAAATCAGGGACTGTGGGTTGCACTTGCTAGTGCTAGATACCTAAACGTTTATATACCGATGCAGTATAATTCTTAATTTCCGTATGCTTCACTTGCTTGAAATGGGAATTGTAATTATTTTTATGTTACCTTGCTTGCATGAGATATTTAAACATAAACATTCTTGTAGAGGTTAGAAACTGAGAAAAATCTGCATAATTTTCTCTGATGCAGATTTTACAGGTGCTGTGTGATATGTGAATGTAATTCGGCAGGACTTCTTGGAAATGTAATGCACGGTGAGGAATGAAAAATATAACTGCTCATAAGAACTGAAACAGGGTGGGAAATGGTTTTAGTTTACAACAAGTATATTTTGACATTATTGCAGAGAGGAAATGACTCTTCTTAGCTTCTTCTTTAAAAAGGGATGTGTACATGGTGTCATAATTTGGGAAAAAAGTTTCTATAAAACCTAGTCAGTTAAGCTAAGCTTTTCCTATGTGGTATTTTTTCCAAAGTGTTTTTAACTGGCACAGTAACTTTGGTTTTTTTAAGGCAGGAAATAAATTAGTATAAGGTTTCAATTAAACAGGGATTTAAAGTGGTTATTTCTCTTCCGGTAAGTACTTGATGCAAAGGCTACAATTTTAACTTGTATCAGTTCCCAATCGAGGCAACCTGTCAAGTGGTCACTAAACATAATTGCAAAAAGTTCTTGTAGCACCTGATACTTCAATTCTGACCGCTGAAGTTTTCAGAAGCTATGTTGTACAAAGTTATTTGTCTTTTAGTGAGTTACTAGACACCACAGGATAAATACAGGCACCTGCTGCCGAGTCCAAATACAATAATACCTATTTGCTGCTGCACCCTTACTTTGACAAGTTAGTTCTTGATTCTGGTATTCCAGTTACTGAAAGAGATGGGCAATAAAGTTGCAACTGAGCTCTCCAAACAAATGGAATGAAAAATGCCTCTTGAAAAGAGTTTTAGTAATTTAAAACCATTGTATACAGGCTTACGCCATGCACAAAACTCACTTGGGTATCGTAGCCAGTAAACTTGTGATTTTCTGCCCCCTCGCTTTTTTTTTTTTTTAACAGAATTTTAAAGAATTCAGTTGTTGTAACCTGAAAAATAGAATCTAGTTTGTCCTTTTTGGTGATGCTCACAAATGGCGGAGTCTGGCGGAGGTGCTGAGGGGTGTGTGCACGTGGCCTTTGGTGGGAGAAGACACGGGGGGAAAGATCTTTACTAGAGTTTTCCACGGCCTGAAAGGGGATTATAAGGAAGATGTGGCCAGATGTCTAGGAGATGGAGGGAAAGACAGAATGCAAGTGGCAGAATGCACAAGTTGCAACTAAAGAAATTCCAGTTGAACGTAAGGGGAAAAAAAAGTCACTGGGAGGGTGGTGAAGCACTGGAGTGAGTTGCTCGTGGAGTCTGGAGCCTCCATCTGTGGAGACTTTCAAAATTAACTGTGCAAACTCCTAAGCAACATGCTTCAACTTCAATCTTGAAACTAATCTTGGGACTAGATGACTCCCAGAGGTCTCTTTCAACCTGTATTAGTCTGTGATTCTTAGATAATCTTAATTATTTTTAGTCCTTAGGATGAATGGCCAGGACTGGTTTTGGCTTTATTACCATTAACTTCAAAACAAAAGTATTGACTGGGTGCGATTTTTGGGATTTTTATTTTTTCTACCAATACCATTGTATTTCAAGTTGTCCTTTTATGTAAGTGTCATGAAAAAGATGCATAAAATAAATCTAAATATTTGTATTTAGACTTGAATTGTTGGATTTCTTTCAATGCTTTTTCAGCCTTGAACAGTCCAGTTCATATAACAAACTGCTGTGAACAGCCACCCCTGAATCTGTGTAGTGTTGAATCCAGTGTTTAAAGAAAACTAAAACTGCAAAAAACCCAGACCAGAGTGCTCTTTGTAAGAAAATGGTTTGATCAGGAAGAATGTCTAGTCTAAGGAGGCATGGAAATTGTTACTATTATTTTTCTTAAAGGACATACTTTTAACTTTCCGTTTCCTTGGCATCTGTATGTGATACTTAAATACGGTCTGCTTGTAGCTCTGTGTTTTGGTCTGTATGCCCTTCTTTTAGAAGAAAATTTCACTCCTAATTAGCTTTCCACTGTCTTTTCAATTATTTCACTTTTTTTAAACTCCCTTTCTGGTTGCATACAATCTGTCTGCTGGAGAATAATCCTCTTTCCTAGAGGTTTTGATTGAAATATCAGAAATAATTGAAAAGTGAATCTCTTAGTCCCCGTGTGAAGGGATATCTATATATAGGAAAACCTCAATTTCTGGTCTTAACTTTTTCATAGCAGAAAGTCATCTAGCTCCTAATTTAGAGATGTAACATTTTAATCGCTGGAGGAAACAGTTGGCTGCTGGTGAAATTTGATGGTCAGTTGTACAATTCACAAGGAGAGGAAATATTTACCATTTATATACTTAAAAGTCTTGCAAGTGGGAGTTTTACTTCTCCTTTCCTCTGTGTTTGCAGTGGAACAGGGAATTACTGTTGAGTGATAGGACAGGTGAGAAAATAGCAGAGAGCTGAACTAACACCGATACATCATTTCTTATTTTCTTTGGTAGGCTGCGAAGAATTCTTGTGTGATTCTTGTAGAGCAATGGGGGAGTGGTGACTCTAGAGTTTGCTTAGTACAATAAGTCAATGAAAGCACCACTGCAGATTATTAATGTGTCTGTTCAGATTCATGACACTTTAGGTAGTGTTTTGCATAATGGCTTGTGCTGTTATAAAGCCACACCCTTAGGCTGTAGTTTTACCGACAGTTTAAGGAATGAGCTCAAGGACTGTGAAGGGGTAAGCCAGCCCTGGGGCTGGAAGGAACTGTTACTCTTCCTCTGCCACTCATTGCTTCTATTGACATCTGCTCTGTGCTGGCACAAGCAGTTACGCAGCTTTGGAGGAAACTGTCTGACTCACCTGTGTTAAAATGACCTCTTTGTGCAGTGATTTCCAGACAGAGCAAGGGATAGTAATGACAGAGCTGTGAGAAGCTGTTCTGTTACTTCTGTGCTCATTATGAAGGACGTGCTGCCTGGGAGTTGTCTGAAGTCTGTCAGAAACCCAGGGCTTGCATTTCAATACATTAATGCATCATGAATAATATTTGGAGGGAGCAGGAACTGAATTAGTTTGCCTGAGTATTCATTGGATCAGAGAATAATTTCGATAAGAAGGGATGACCAGAGGTAATCTAATCTAACCATATATTCAAATCAAGTTGCTTAAAATTAAATTAAATTTTAATTTGGAACCAATTAACCTCTTTGCATTTTTTATTTTTTTTTTTGTCTCTAAATCCTCTTGAAGTCAATTGCAAATTCAGGTGCTCAGCATTTCTTGGAAACTGGGCTGCTTTTATTTACAGGAATTAATATCAAAGTAGAAACACCATTCACTCTGGTTTTAAAATCCTGGCTTCAGTTTTTAAAACTTAGGACTTAATGCTATGGATACAGCAGAGAAATAGAGCTACGGAAGATGAATAGGCAAAATAATCAGGGACCATGGAAATAGCCTAGTGGAAAATTAGCTATATTTCATGAGGAGAATGAGAGAATCTAGACTTGAATAGTGGAGAGACCACTCATAGTCCCAGTCTGAGCACTACGAGGGAATGGCATTTAAGTAAGGCCTTTCGTGTTTTCTATACATAGGTATTTTTAGAAAACTAACTGGTGGTATTTTTACTCTGATTTCTGGAGGAATCCTGACTAAATAGACAATTTTCCATTCCATAGGGCCAGCTCACGCAGCCGTTGAACTATCTGCTGGGAAATATTTATAGTACCACATGATCTTTAAAAATAACTTGCCAGTCTGCACTGCGGATGTCTTGAATTCTTAAAAGCTTCGCTGTTGTAGGTAGATAACCGTAACATCTGTAGAGTGGAAAAATCTTAGTTTTGCTGATTCAGGAATTTGTATTTATTTATAATCAAGTTGTTTATGTTTACTTCTTAAATTTGTAAGCAGTTTAGATTGAAATTCACCTATGGAGCTGAAAATTGGTAAGCATTTTAGATTGAAATTCACCTCTGGAGCTGTAGAAGGTCAGAACCTTGAGTGGATTCACTCTTTGAGGCAAAAGAGGAATTTCAGTGGTGTGGTATGAAATAACATAGAGAATAAACTTTAATTTTCAGTGCGTTAGGACCCGTCTTTAAAAGAGGGTCAATATTTGATCCTGTGTGAACTATGAGTCTAGTAAACAGAAAATACGGTTCTTAGTAGTCCATGTGTTGCGTAGCGTAGCTGCTTTCTCTTGTCGTGCTAAACCCTTAAACAAAACCGAGGTAGGAGTTCCACATTGTGCCTGATTCCATCCCTTGGCTGCTGCTGGAGGGCAGCGATGGGTGTTCTTGCTTC